CTGCATTGGGTCTTTGTTGCTGTGCGTGGGCTTTCTCTAGTTGCAGCGAGCGGGGGCTGCTTTTGTTGTGGTGCGTGGGCTTCTCATTGTGGTGGCTTCTCGTTGACAGGCTCTAGGCACGCAGGCTTCAGTAGTTGTGGCACGTGGGCTTCAGTAGTTGTGGCACATGGGCTTAGTTGCTCCGTGGCATGTGAGATCTTCCCAGACCAAGGCTCGAGCCTGTGTCCCCTGCACTGGCAGGCGGATTCTTAACCACTGCACCACCAGGGAAGTCCCTATATTTTTATTTTTAGAAGCTCTATTTTGTTCACGATTTCCTATTCCTTTTTCAATTTCCACCTATCTCATCATTTTAAACATTTCTACTTGATCATCCCTTGTAGTTGTACTGTCTCGAGTTCCTGGCATGCCAGTCCCCCTGTGCTGCTCTCTTCAGGATGGCTCCTTTCCTCCCAGAGGTTATAATTTTATTTCTGTAGCTATCCTCAGCATGTGGTGTTTCTTCAGGTGGAAGACCTGTGTGTCCAAGGCTTTGGGAGTATCCCCATAGAGCAACCAGGGCCCCAGGGGTTCCAGGATATCAAATTTTCAACTTGGGCATCCTATATGAAGAGGATGAAGTTAGTCCGGATTCTATGTAGGCATACCTCTTTATATGGTGCTTTGATTTATTGCATTTGGTGGATATTGTGTTTTTTCAGAAATGGAAGGTTTGTGGCAACCCTGCATTGTTAGATGATAGTTTACATTTTTTAGCAATACAGTATTTTAAAATTAAGGTATGTACTGTTTTTTAGACATAATGCTTTTGCACACTTAATAGACTACAGTATAGTGTAAACATAACTTTTATATGTCTTGGAAACCAAAACATTCCTGTGACTCACTTTATTGTGATGTTTGCTCTAATTGCGGTGATCGGGAACTGAACCTGAAATACTTCCAAGGTGTGCCTGTACACAGAGTACAGGTTTACAGTTCCAGTTTCTCCTGAAAGCATATTCTTTTTAACAAAATCCATAGTGATGGACAGACAGCAAAGTCTGCTCTCTGCCCAACTGGACTAAAAGGCTATGGTTTTCTTGGCCCCTTAGCTCAAGGATAGTGTTTCCTGGGTTCCTTACATTCTATGTAGAATTCAGTTCCAGCTTCCTGTCTAGCTGGGACTCAAGGAGATGCCTTCTGTGGGTGCTAAGCCCTCGCTCCCTAGCCATTAGACATCCCTACCCCCATCAGTGTTGGCATTAGCATGGCTTTGAATTCCCCTCTTCATTTCTGAAATTTAAGCACTCCTTTCTTCTCAGCTCAGCTATGTATTATAAAAAGATGGGGGAGTTATATTTATCTGCCATTTCCACGTGTTTGGAATGAGAGAGTAGTCTGCACTAAGCTGGTCCACCCATCTCATATCACAGTCTGCTGGGTCACAAGTACCAGAGTTATTAAGGGATTTTCAGTTTTATAAATTAAAGTCGAATCAAGGTTATTCTTATATTGATATTCTCCCTAGAAATCAGTTACACTTAGTTAATGGATCAGGAAAGCATAGAAGCATAATTGTGACCTTGGGCATGTCCATGGAATTCGGTCCTGAATGTGAACATTGTTTTTCCTCTGCCACAATAGGAAACAAAGTTGCTTAGAGCAGCCTGTAATGAGGCCAAGACTTGGGGCTGAAAACCTTTGAGCCTCAGAGCGGTCTTCATTTTGTAGTCACAGACTGTAGACTTAGCTGAAGTAAACCCTGCTGCAATTTCCACGGCAAAAAGGAGGATGAGAGTTTGTATAATGCATTTCCTCTAATTTACTAGAAAAATTCATTCATGGGTTATTTTGGGGGTACAAAGTACATCTTATATTTTTATTTACATGTATGTGAAGCATTTAGTGTTAAATGGCCCTTTAAGACAATGTCGTATGCCTCTAGCAATGAACTAGTATCTCAAGATATCTAAAAGAAGAAATGTGTATTTAATGTATCTTTTCATCATAAGCATTCCATTAATATATGCTATATATTGACCCTCAGGACATTCCATTTAATATACAGATATATAAATTTAAATATATACTTACATGTGTGTGTTTGTGTGTGTGTATATATATATATGTGTGTATATATATGTGTGTGTGTATATATATATACACACATATATACATACAGAAAGAGAGAAGAGAGAGAAAGATCCTTCCCAAGACACGATTTAATGTATAGCTAAATAGTAATGTGCTTTGGGCTTCCCTGGTGGTGCAGTGGTTAAGAATCCACCTGCCAATGCAGGGGACACGGGTTCGAGCCCTGGTCCAGGAAGATGCCACATGCCGCGGAGCAACTAAGCCCGTGTGCCACAACTACTGAACCTGCGCTCTAGAGCCCGCAAGCCACAACTACTGAGCCTGCGTGCCACAACTACTGAAGCCCGTGCACCTAGAGCCTGTGCTCCTCAACAAGAGAAGCCACTGCAATGAGAAGCCCGCACACCTCAATGAAGAGTAGCCCCCGCTCGCCGAAACTAGAGAAAGCCTGCGCACAGCAATGAAGACCTAACACGGCCAAAAATAAACATAAATAAAATAATAATAAAATAAATTAAAACAAAAATAGTAATGTGCTTTGTTGGATTGTGGCAACGGCATAACAGTATATTTGTTGCAGTGCTTGTGTTCAAGTTAAGGAGTGGCTTATTTAGTTATAATGGGAATACTGTTTTTAGTCATAGAAAATGACAGCCATTCAAATGGCAGGTGTCTAAGTACAGATTGGGTCCATCAGATGGGAACACACTTTAAATAATTGTGACCACATTTGTTTTGCTTGGTAGTTTCCTAGTTACCCAGGACAGAACTGCAGACACAGGGAAGAGGTGGTAAATTACCCTGATTATCAAACAGCTGAGAAAATAGTTTGGCTCTGGTGTTGAGAAACTTGTTTAGAAAATAAATCAAAGCTCATTGGAGCTTTTTTACTACATTGAATTCATTCAAAATACCTTCTTTGTAACAGACAATTACAGTGTTAAAGGATTAAGTATTAATTATGGATGTGTTCAGTTTCCTTAGGTAACTACTGAATACTGCCTTTTCAAGAAAGGTAAAATTCCATGTGATTTTATTTATTCATTCACTTAGATTCAGCAAATCAATGGCAGTGATAAGCAGAACACAAAATTTAAAACTAATAAATAATTTATTAGGGGGTAAAATTAATATATTACTTGGCCCATGGGTCTCTATTACTAGCTGTGTGACCTTGAGCTAGTTAAGTTTTCTAAGATTCAGTTCTGTGGTTAATGAGGATTAATAATGCCTGGCTCACAAGGTTTTTCTGAGAAGTAAATAAAGCATTTAAAGTGCTAAGTAGAACACCTGGCACATAATAATTTCTTAATAAATGTAGTAGCTATTAATATTATTTGGTGGAAAAGTGGATAATAAAATAAATGCTGGATTTATTTAGATTTTAATCTTTGAACAGACTTAATAGGTGCAATGAGCTTATTTTATACTTGGTCAAAAATGTAAATTTTTTTAATTTTCTGAAATCCAGAATATAAAACTGAAGAGTGCAGCTGGTATTCAAGACTAATAATTTGTACTTTCTTAAGAGATGAACTTGGGAGGTAGTAGTAGGAGGGGAGAGCCTAGAATTAGAAAAGCTTCATTCTTTTTTTTTTTTTTTTTTTTTAATTTTTGGGCTGCACCACACTGCATGCAGATCTTAAGTTCCCCGACCAGGGATGGAACCCGCGCCCTCGGCAGTGGAGGCATAGAATCTTAACCACTGGACTGCCAGGGAAGTCCCAAAAAAGCTTCATTCTTAATTTTGAATTGCGAAGAGCAAGGCTGTGAGACCTAATACATTAAAATTCTGTAATATCTTTAAAAACAAGCCCTGCAGTAGCAGGCCCTGGAATGAGAAATGTGCTCGACTTTTCAAAAGCTTTAATTTGAAGGGTCACAATTGTATTGTCTTTCAGATGTGGAGAACTGATTTCTAATTCTGCGTCTAAGAGAAAATTGGCCATATTTTCAGTATTATGAGCAGATTCCTAATGCCCAAAGGGGATTATGTTCTGTCTTTTATTGCCTGTGGGAGGGGTGTTGCTAAGAAACAGAATTCCTGATACATTCTGAGGAAGGCAGCCTGTCATTTTAGTGATGCACTGAGAATAAAACACACTGAGGGCAATGTATTTTCAAAATCTAAAGCTGTAACTACCCAAAGAAGACTGTTTATCTCTGGTTGATTAGATGTAACTCATCTGCTTGTGTGAGGCTTAGAAAACAAACCTTAAAAGCCTGTATATTGATGCTCTAAAAGTATGTATGGCCTGCCAAATCATTCTTTTACGAGTGTTTGAAGGACAAAAGGAAATGACCTACAGAGTTTGAAGGCTGGAAGGAAGCAAGCGCGCACTGAGGACTTCCATACAAGCACTGGGCTGGGCTCTGTCACGGTCACACCTTGCTGATGATCCATGATGACCTGTCAAGCAGGAGGCATAATTTCCACTTTACAGATACGGGAATAAGTTCATCCGAAACTCGACCAGTTGAGTGTCAGTACTCATAACTTCAGACCTACGTTTTCTCACTCCAAGTGCAGAATTCTTGCCACTATACTTACCAGCTACTGGCTTCCAGTTTTAGAGACTAAAGTAGGGTCAGGGTTAGACTACAACTGCAAAGGAGATTGGGGAAATTCTATGATTCAAGACACAGGCCTAGATACTCTGGAAGGCCTAGATTTCTGGTTCCCTTTGGCTGCTGAAGAACAGGTGCTTCCTCATCATTTTTCATCCTCTGAGTTACTGTACCCTCAAGTGAAAATGAATGCTTGCCAGAGATCTTTAAGGTACACAGACCAGGGAAGTACTGACAGCCTTTCAGAGACAGTGTGATCTGGTACAATGTAGGGATCTCTAGGGGCCCTTCCAATTCTGTTTCTCTTATACCACCACATTTTCAGACATTTTTTCTCACCTTTTCGGCATTCAGTGCACTCAGGCATTCTCAGCTTTTCGTAAGTGTTCTCTGTTATGATAACTGGGATCCTAAATAGCTCATGGGAATGATCATTATATTCAGAAGCAGGAGAATTCATTCATCCAACAGGCATTGATGGAGAGCATACTGTGTGGTAGGCAGTGTCATAGGAGCTGGGAATCAGCAGTAAAGACAAAGTTCCTGTTCTCACGGAGCTTATCTTCCAGTGGAAGAGAGACGTATATAAAATAATTTCAGATATTAATATGTGCTTTGCAGGAAAAAAATAAGGGCAATGTAGAGGGATGAAGAGTGAGTAGGAATGAGACTGCGGCGGTGGTTTAGAAAGGAAAGTCACTGCAGGCCCCTACGAGGGTCTGCCGTTTGCACTGAGTCCTGAGGGCTAGGAAGGAGGGAGCTGTACCACCACCAGGAGACAGGGTGTTCACGACAGAGATGATAGCAGTTGTGAGATCCTGAGATGGGCTCTAGCTTGATTATTTAAGGACTGGCAGAGCCATAGCACCTGAGTGGGAGAGGCTGACAGGTGCATTATATCAGGTCTGGGTGGTCGTGTGGAGGAGTTTGGGTCTTCTTTTGGGTGTGATGGGAAGCCATTAGAGAGTTCTGACCTCAGATTGGCATGCTATATGTTATTGAAAGATAGCTGTAGCTGCTGTCTGGACAGTCAGCTGTTTGAGTGGAAGCTGGGAAACCTTTCAGAGGCTCTTGCTATAGTCCCGATGAAAGACGGTGGTGGCGGGGGCTAGAGTGCTAATGATGGAACTAGAAGTGGAAGGATACAGGCTCATGCTTAGAGGTGGTACTTAAAGGTTTGCTGATGGACTGAATGATGAGTATGAGGGGAAGAAGGAGTCAGGGCCTCTATAACCAGATGCTTGGCAACTTGTCACTTTCTTAACAGTTATCAAACAGAACTCCCAGTCATTTCTTCCACTCCCTGAAACACAGCAGCAGTGACTGACAGTATACATTGCACTTGTGAGTGATGACAGGATTTTTCAATTTGAAACCTTAAAAGTTTTTTTAAATTATTCGTTTTAATTTTTCTCAAAAAGGGAAGAGAAAATATTCCCTTCGCTGTCAGAATCTTAAGAAAGACACACACGCACAAATCCAGACACACACAAACACACACACACACCACCACCACCCCAAATGATATTTGAATTCTCCTACTTTTGAAAACAATACATGGGCTTTTGAAAATAGCTGTCAGAATCTTTAAAAGGAAAAAACCCAAAGGCATAAATAAATGAACTCTACAAATGACTTTGGTTCACATAGAACATAAAAATAAAATCCACAATGAAAAAGCCAGTTTTAAAGATGTTGGCTTGTTTAGAGACTCATGGGAGGAAATGTTAAGGCAGTTTAACCATCGATGATTGGAGTACGTTTTTTCCCGCCCAGGATAACAATGGAGCAAAAGTGCAAAAACAGTGTAACAATATTCAGTTTATGGGTGGCCAAGGAGTGCAGGGAATTAATACATCTGAGTCATAAAACAGAAAAAGTGAAGCACAAAGTGGTATATGTACTGTGAGAAGTGGATTAAAAGAATTTGTTAGCTCGTGGGAAAAGTGAGACAGTACCTTCAGTGGAACATAGGATATTCCCTCCGGTGCAACTTCAAGACAATCACCAGGCAAAGTAGCTGTCCTTGATTGCTAAGCCAATGCATGGAGAAGGAGACTTCTCCTGATATATTAGTATTAAATAATGTATTAAGTCAGTCACTGTCATCAAATTAATACTGGGAAGTACATGACCAAGATGAAAACACCTTCCATCAGTAAGTCACTTGGTAATCTAGGATGGACCTTTATCCATCCCTCCCCCATCCAAACCCCACCCCCAGCCCCCAGCATCATCCATTCTTATACAATTTTTGAAGTCCCATAAAAGTCAATTTATGTTGCCTTTTCTGTCTTCAGAAGGGTTCACAATTCATTAAAATGCCACTCTTTCCTTTGTGTCTTGCTCTCAGGACAAATGGTAGAAGTCCAGATTGAACACAAGGCACAGATCAAGCCAGGATGATCAGGCTTACACAGTCTGACCTGACAGAGGCCTGAGCAGGGATTGGCCCAGCACCCAACACATGGAGAATGATGAGGGTGAGTTTGGGAAGATGGGAGAAAAAGAGGGTGTTTCGTTTTCTTCTTTTTCTCTACTATTTTTTTTTTTTTTTAAGCACCTTCAACATGGTGTCATTCTGCACAATAAATCTGTTGCTTCCTTGGTTGAAATGAACAACCTACAGTTTAACAAAGATATTCACAGAGAAACAGAAGGATAATAAAGCCACGGAAGAGAAAGGCAACTTAATTTATAAATGACATGAAAGACAGGAGAAGTAGGATGATCATTAACTTACGTAACCAAGTTCATGTAGAAGAGGTGTTGTGGCTGGGGTAGGGCAGTGTGCGCTTTAATTTGCCATAGGTAAGGTATCAGTAAAGAAGGAGCAATGCACCAGATGGAAAAAAAAAAAAAGGTCAAATGCCGTCACAGAGACTGCATTTCTTCCAGCATTGAGTTGTGGTTGGAGGAGGGTCTTCTGGAGATAAACTAGTCAACTTACTTGCTTTTCAGTCCATCCCCTTAAATAATATTTGTTATTACCCTAAATTAAGAGAGGGATCCCAACTCCTCAGGCCTTGTGTTTCATGAAGGGTCTTCTGCTCGCAAGGCCTTCTCTCTGTCCCTTACTCCCAAGGAGAAGTAGTATCTGTTTGTAGAGGTTGTGGCTCAGCCTGGGGGGGTTTCTCTCCCTGGCCAGCCTGCCCTTAAGACAGTGCCTTCTCCTTTCACTCCTGCCGCCACCCAGGTTTTGGGTCAGGCCCAGAACCTACCTTCTACGTGCACTTTTGGAGACCTTTGTTTCTTTGTCCTTGCTGTCGGGGTTCAATCGGTTATGGTGCTGATTGGGTAAGTTTGGGGTAGTCTAGAGGCCCAGTCTCTTCTGCAGGTGGGTCCTAAGATCCAGACCCAGGAAGCAAGTGGTACAAATTCTATCCAGAGGTCAACCTGATTCAAGGCAAGCCCAAGTGCCGTGGAGAAATCATAGCAGTGTTAGGGAGTGGAAGGTCGGGGAGAAAAAGAGATAGACAGGGTAGTTAGGGAAGACCCCTCCGAGGAGGTGAGGTTTAAGCTGACATATGAATAATGGGAAGGAGAAAGCCATTGTGAAGATTTGGGGACAGAGTTTTGGGGGCAGAGGGCACAGCAAATGTAAAGTCCTTGATGGGGAATTAACTTGGGTGTTTCAGGAATAGCAGAAAGGCCAGCGTGGGAGAGTGGTAGGACGTAAGGTCAGAGAGAGGGGCAAAGGAATGTGTAGTGCCTTTGAGGCCCTGATTAGCGGTTTGGATTTTATTCTGAGCAAGTTGGAAACCACGGGAGGATATTGAGTACAGAAGGGATGTTGTTAGGTTCATGTTTTGAAAATGGCACTGACAGCTTTTGAGGAATTGGGGGTTTCTGCTTTTTCTTTTTCTTGTCCCCCCTCCTCCCCCCACCTCCCTCCTCCAGCAAAGAAGAGGAACCCGTAAGTTTTAGGGATGTTTGTGCATACTGACTCTCATCGTATGTAACCTGGTTTGAAGAGAAGTGTTTCCGTTGTAGGTGTGTCTTGCTGTAAATATTTGTTCATATTTTTGTGAATTCAATACTACGTACCACTGTATTATAGTAACTTTTATAAAGCAAACCATAAAAAAAAAAAAGAGATGGAGGGGAGCTAGGATGGAGGCAGAGAAGGTGGTGAAGATGATGAGAAGTGGACAGATTTGGGATATTTTTTTTGGATATAACTGATAAATCTTCCTAAAGTTTTGAATATTGAATACAAAGAAATAAGAGAATCAAGGATGCCTCCTCAGTACTGAGCTTGAGTAACTGGGTGTATGGTGGTGCCGTTAATTAAGATGGGTGAGTGGAGGTAGAGAGTGAGAGTAGAGGGCAGAGCTCTGTTTGGGATATGTTACGTTTGAGATCTTTTGGGGCATCCAAGTAGAAATGTGAAGTGTAGTCCAATCTGCAACTCTGGGGAGCGGTTGGGGCTGGCATATAAAGCCATCAGTGTAGAGATGATGATATTTAAAGTCATGGGTCTGGCTGATCTCACCTATGGGGAGATTTAAATAGGGAAGATTATTGAGAACTGAATGTTGGAATGCTTCCAGTATTTAGATTGGAAAGTGGAAGCTGAGTCAGCAAAGGAGACAGAAAAAAGTTGTATTAGTTAGGGTTCTCCAGAGAAACAGAAGCAATAGGATGTGAATATGTAGAGAAAGAAATTAATTGTAAGGAATTGGCTCATACAAGTGTAAAGGTTAGCAAGTCCAAATTTGCAGTATGGGCCAGCTGATTCAAGACTGGGGAGAGCTGACAGTGCAGATGAAGTCCAAAGGTAGTCTGCTGGAGAATTCTCTTTCACTTGAAAGAGGGTCAATCTTTTTGTTCTATTCAGTCCTTCAGCTGATTGGATGAGGCCCACCCACATTAGGGAGAGCAATCTGCTTTACTGATTAAAATGTTAATCTAGTCTAATGTTAATCTAGTCTAATGTTGTCTATTGATTTAAATGTTAATTTCACCCCCAAAACACCCTCATAGAAATACACAGACCAAATGTCTAGGCATCCTGTGGCCTAGTCAAGTTGATACGTGAAATTAACCATGACAGTGCTGGTTGGCTTCTTGGCTCTTAATACTTAACACTTTCTCTCATGCATATGCATATGAGCTGAACAGAAGTGGCAAAGAAAAATGGCACATTTGAGTCCACTTTTCAGCAAGAAGCATAGGACCCTGGAAGAGACCTTAAAGGCTGGCTAAGACAACTTTCCATCCAATGTAGATTTTTCTGTCTCTGCTAAAACATTTCCAGTGCTAGGGTGCTCACTACTTTCTAAGATAAAAAGTTCTGTTAATGTGACTCTCTATTTCTTAAAAAAAAAGTTATCCTTATATTGAGCAAAAATCTTCCTCATGAAGCCTGACTAGCTCTCAGCTTCCCTAGCAAGTAGTAAGAATGCCACACCACCTCTGCCAAGGACTGTGTCAATTCTGGAGCTTTGCAGAGTTTGGAGAGCTTTATCAGTCCTGGAACACAAAGCTTTTTCTCCCCAGGGCACAGACATGCCACCCAGGTAGTTGGGTGAGGATGGATTCAAGTACTGTTTATCTGAAACCACTCACCAGGCACTCAAGCCTTACTGCTAAATCTGCCAGGCTGCTTCAGAATGGTGAACTTGCTCCCAGACACTTCTCTGACCCCACAAGCTGTCTTCTATCAAAGCCTGAAGGCTGTCAGCCCTGTCTGTCTGTATGGGTCTGAGCCAACTATGGACATGCTTCTTTTTTTTTTCCTCGGCCTGTGTTTAGGTCAGTAGAGGTAAATAGATATGAAGAAGGAGGGGTGTGGTCCAACTCCAAATACCTGTGCAAATGTTAGCTCCATTCTGACTGGAGATCCTTTAGTTGGGAAGACCAGACATTGGTTCTGATTTTGTTCCTTGGTGACACATTCCCTTTTTAAAGCCAGTAAACTCGGATTTGCCCTAATACTAACTCCATCTTTATAAAAATGTAAGCTGTAACCTAGGCAGCGATGAACAAGACTATTTCCTTGTAAACGAAGCCCCTGAATGTAAACCACATTCCAGAGGCTGCTGCAGACCCAGCGTTTCCAGTGCCAGTAGAGAAACAGGCCTCAGAACTGTGTAGACACCACTCTGCTAAGAATCTTTGATTGGAAGATTGACCACAAGCCTAGGAGAGAATAGTCATGTAATCCAAAGAACGAGGATTAGTACAGGGTTTGGTCCACCCCCTTTATTTATTTATTTTAAAAAATTTATTTATTTCCTTTATTTTTTTTTGGCTGCGTCGATCTTAGTTGCGGCATGTGGGGTCTTCGTTGAGGCATGCGGGATCTTTTGTTGCAGCATGGGCTCTTCGTTGTGGCATGCGGGCTTCTCTCTAGTTGTGGCGTGCAGGTTTTCTCTCTCTAGTTGTGGCACGCGGGCTCCAGGGTGTGTGGGCTCTGTAGTTTGTGGCACGTGGGCTCTCTCGTTGAGGCGCGCCAGCTCAGTAGTTGCGGCACTCAGGCTTTGTTGCCCCGCAGCATGTGGGATCTTAGTTCCCCAATCAGGGATCGGACCCGCATCCCCTGCATTGGAAGGTGGATTCTTTACCACTGGACCACCAGGAAAGTCCCTTGGTCGTGCCTCTTTAAAGTCTTGCTTTCTACTTTAATAAATGAAAGCACTTAGTAGAAAAACTAGTTCTGTAGGGCTCTGACATTCAGAGCACCGCTAGGCAATCTTTTTAGCCTGCTGTTTGCAAACACTAGGACAGAACGCAAAGATGGAATGTTTGTGTCCCCCCTACATTCATGTATGTTGAAACCTAATCCCCAGTGTGATGGTATGAGGAGGCGAGGCCTTTGGGAAGCAGTTAGGTCATAAGTCAGAGCCCTCATGAATGGGGTTGGTGCCCTTATAAAAGAGACCTCAGAGAGCTCCCTCATCACTTCCACTGTGGAGGACATAGTGAGAACATGAGAACAGTCTTTGTACCAGGAAGCAGGCCCTCACTAGACACTGAATCTGCCAGTGCCTTGATCTTGGGCTTCCAGCCTCTAGAACTGTGAGAAATAATTTCTGTTGTTTAGAAGCACTCAGGTCTGTGGTATTTTGTTCTAGCAGCCTAAAGAGACTGAGACATATAACATCTTTTGTCTTTTGTTTCTTTGGAAAATTCAGTGGCCATGACTTTTTTGATGTGTTTTTAATCCTGAAGAGGTCTTGTTGCACAAATATGCACCAATGATACTTCTGGTTATTGGGTTTTATTAAGGAATTTCGGACACCACTGAACTGAGGTCTGGCAAATAGGAACTACTCTGGATGTGAGTCCTTGTTTCCTTCCCTACAATGCAATGTTTATCCTTCAAATCCTCCCCAACCCCACTTCTCCTCACAGGATAACAACTTTGCGCATCCAAGAATTACATGTGTACATCAGCATTCACACCTCTTTCCTCAAAAAATGAACAGTTTCTCTTAACATAAACATTTCTAAGACGACTTATGCCTTTTGTAGTATT